TAAAAAAAATTTGCTGACACGTGGAAATATAGTGTCAGATTTGGCCGGTTTAGGCAAGCGCTCTCAAAAAGGTTACTCGCCCTAGTCTAGGAGATTTTTCTGTCCGTGTGTCCATATGAAGAAGATTTCATCTATATATTTGTTGTAGTGCAGGGGTGCTAGGTGGTATCTACTAAACATATCCTGTTCAAAGGCATTCTTGAAAATTTTCCCTTCGCTGTGCCTCTAACCTGAAAAAAATAGTGCCCGTTGAAATTGTTGTTTGTGAGTATAAAATGTATAATGTTGGAAATATCTGTGTGTTGTTTAATAATTTCTTATACCAGAAACTATTGGACGGCTGGGCGAATGGATCTTAAGAGATTCTATCAAGTCATGCATCTTATTCTATGTATCTGTGGTAGTGCAGGAGTGCTAGGTGGTATCTACTAAAATATCCAGTTCAAAGGAATCCATGTAATTGTTAGCATAGCTGGGAGCCATTTTCGTTCCCATCACAGTGCCTCTAACCTGAAAAATAGTGTCCGTTGAAGTTGTTGTGTGTGAGCATAAAATGTATAATGAAATATCTTGTATATTGTGCTCGTCGAAGCTTCTGGTGATGAAAAAATTTTGCAGACTAGTATTTCCTCCTCGGATGGTATGTTAGAATATTAGGATGTCACATCTATGGTTACTAGGAGTGTATTGTCAGGTAAACTATCTATATTGTTCAGGATGTTTAGGAAATTGATGTCTTTGATATAGCTAGGAATAAAGGGCAGTAGAGGTTTGAAGATTTGGTCAATGTAACCAGAAATGTGTTGTGTAAGGATTCTTATACCAGAAACTGTTGGTCAGTCAGGCGGATTGATCTTGAGAGATTCTATCAAGTCATGCAAATTGTGTAGGTTTCTATTGATGTCCTCTATGGAAAGGTTGATGGTTGTGTCTATGATTATTTTAGGGAGTTTGTGTAATTTAATGATGGTATAGAATGTGCCGGATTTGGGACTTTTCCTGTATACTCTGCTCTAAATGTCTGATTAGAGAGTGGAGTTCTGACGTAAAATGATTAGGATCTAGGAAGAGTTTTTTTTTTTAAGTAAAACCTTGGATCATTGAGTTGGTATTTTTCTTCTGCGATGTATTTACTTTTGACCATTATGGTGATTAAACCTCCCTTGTCGGCTTGTTTGATAATTATATCTTTGTTTGCTTGCAGGGATAATATGTCTGTCCATTCATGTCTGGTGATGTCGTTGCTGTTGGTTTGTTGGGTGGTTGGTTTGTATGAATTTGTCTAGGTGGTTCCTGATACTTTTTGTATATATATATATATATATATATATATATATATATATATATATATATATATATATATATATCCTAAGGAGGATGTAATCCAGACAGCTCAATGTAAAAACTGAGCAAATATTAGTTAAATCAAAAAACAAAACAAAAAAAAAAAACAACAAAAAAACAAAACAAAAAAAACAGACAACCTTCAGGGTCCATAGATTATATTTTATTTACCCAGGAAAGGGATTTTCCTGGTTCCTTAGATCACATTTCCAAGCCTAAAAGAAAATGGTTTAAAAATTTACATATTATTATTTTTATAAAAGTTTTTGATGGGTAGAAGTTTTAAGATTGAGTAAAGTGATACGGAGAGTGGGGAGGGCGACCGATATGACCGAAATTAGAGAGGGAAGGGAGAGATAGGAATATGTTTAAATCTGTCTTTGAATAGGTCGAAATGTCTGGCAACTTACCCTACCACCCTTCTTACGTATCTTAATAAAGATACGTAAGAAGGGTGGCAGGGTAAGTTGTCAGACATTTTAATCTATTTAACAAGTCCTTTCACAAGAAAAGGAAAGAAGACAAGGAAAAAGTGAATAAAAGAGATAGAACATAAGAGAAAACAAATAAGAAAGCAGGAGTGAGGAAAAAGGGAGAAAGAAGAAAAGGAAAAATAAATTAAAATATATAGGCATATTGCGGTTAATTTAAAAAATACACATTAATATAATTTACAGTTAACGCTTGACATTATTTTAAAGATTACCAAGAAACTAAAATAAAAATTTATTATATTATTAATATTATTAATAACAACTAATAGTTAGTAGTAAAAATTAAAGTTAAAATTTAAAATTAAAAAAAAAAACGTAAAAATTTCAAATAGTATCGAAAAACATGTCGAAAAGAATAATATTAAAAATAATAAAAATAAAAATAATAATAATAATAATAATAATAATAATAATAATAATAATCTCAAAAATGGGGCACATGGGAACTTTACGAAGGACTTTATATATGTAAAATATGTGTCTGTTTGTGTGTGAGTATTTTTTTTTATTGGTTAGTGGAAAATGTCATGATGCCATTTCTGACTTTAGGTCTCTGAGCGGGAGCCGGAAAAAAATGTGTACACACCAGAAATCAAAGGAAATAATAACAATAATAATTTTTTTCCCAACAGATTCCGTAGTGCGGAGTTAAAAGCTGAAACAGAAGGTTTTATCCTTGCTTCACAGGATCAGTTCTTGTTAATTAGAAATTATCAAGTACGCATACTAAAATACAGTGTTAGCCCAAAATGCATGTTCTGTGATAATATCCAGAGACAATTAATCATCTTGTATCAGGTTGCACGGTATTGGCACCCACAGAATATAAAACCCGGCATGACAGAGTTGACCAATATCTGCACTGGAAAATCTGTAAGTTCTACGCGAAGCAAACTGAAAGAAAGTAGTTTGAACACCACCCAGACCCGTTTACGAAGAGAGGACCTGTTACAATTTTATGGGACTACCCAATACACACAGACAGAACAATCAAAGCTAACCGCCCAGACATTGTTATTAAAGTCCGCACCCAAAAATGTGCCTCCTTATTAATATGGCATTACCGGCAGACTGCAATGTATCTTTCAAGATCTTCAAAAAGTTATCAAAATACAAGGAGCTTGAAATCGAAATTTCAAAAATGTGGCATATGGGAACATCAACAATCCCCGTTGTAGTTGGAGCACTCGGAATGGTTAAAAAAGATTCCAGTAGAATATTGAAGGGATTCCTGGAAGCACATGCCTTACAGAAATACAAAAAAATGTTCTCACGAGTTCAGCCCACACCTTACGAAGGGCTTTGTCTATGTAAATTTTTTTTTTTTAGTGAAAATGTCATGATGCTATTTCTAACCATAGATCCCTGGGTGGGATCCGGAAAGAAATGAGTACACGTAAGAAATCAAAATAATAATAATAATAATAATAAAACTAATGTTTACTAATGTTATTTTATAAACTTATTCAAATAAGAAATTATGCAAGGTAAATGAAAGGCTCATATATATATATATATATATATATATATATATATATATATATATATATATATGTAAACACAACCAGTAAAGCATACAAACACACACACACACACACACACACACACACACACACACACACACACGTATATAATAATAATAATAATAATAATAATAATAATAATAATAATGGACTCTCCTGTCGGTTTCGACGTATGAGGATCTGACAGCTTATTGATTCAGTTATGAAAGTATATGCGATAATCTTAAGTGGCATTTAAGAACCGATAGGAGGCCACATATGGAGCAAGTGTGAGGATTGTGAAATGAGATCACTGTTAGATTGGGTGACCTTTTAGATCTTGCTCTCGCTTCTTGAAGATGATTCAGATTGAATACAATATATATATATATATATATATATATATATATATATATATATATATATATATATATAAGGGTGTGTGTCACACATTATGAAATGGTCCGACAATTATTTTAAGACATTTTTATGTTTATACATTCTTTTGTATAGATACAAATATTTAAGTAAATGCTCTGTTTACAATAAACAGTATTAACAACATTTTCCGGCCTGAATGTCCGAGAAAGTCTCATAGAAAATATACGTCCTCCGACAAGAATTGAACCTGTATCCTATACGGAACCGTCATATAGCCTGATGTACCTGTACGTTTTGGTTAGCTAGGTAGATTTTACTGTTTTTAAACTACAAATCTCCATGATTTTCTCACGTACATTCAAATCTGCTCGATGCGTATCCAAATGTAACCAAATAACGTCACACATTATGAAAAGGATAAAGTCCGACAATTATTTTTAATAAACTGTATAGAATAAAGGTTCGATTCCTGTCGGAGTACGCAGGTTTTCTATAACAATTTCTCGGTAAATGTTGTTAATACTGTTTATTATAAACAAAGCATTTACTTAAATATTTGTATCTATAAAAAAAATGTATAAACATAAAATGTCTTAAAACATATATATATATATATATATATATATATATATATATATATATATATATATATATATATATAGTATGCATTTATATATACCTATGTAGAGGCACGGTGGAGTAGTGGATTGTATTGATGAGTCGGAGAGCCGAGTTCGAATTCTAGTTGAATCCATTACATTTACTTACGTGCTAATACCCTTGGGAATGTATTAAACCTCTTCTCACACTAGTTATAAGTAAATAGCAGAACAGACTGGCTACTATAGCCTTGGATGGCGATGATAACTATGAATTCAAATCCTGCGGAGCGTCATTTGTGGTGCACCAGGTCTTTGCATTCTGCATTCGGCCCATCAAAAACTGAGTTTGGTTCTGTATAAAGTCTTCACCACTATAATCAAATCATATGTGCTGGTGTATGGGCTGCCGGTATTAGCACATAAGTGAATGAAGTGGATTTGAACTCGCCTTTCCGATTCCTCAATCTGAGCCGCTATCCACTACTTCATCGTCCCTCCTCCACCGTATATATATATATATATATATATATATATATATATATATATATATATATATATATATATATATATATATATAACGTGTGTATGTATATATGTTTATATATATATATATATATATATATATATATATATATATATATATGTGTGTGTGTGTGTTCTTTTGTGTATATCCAAGTTTACAGCACCTGGTATTCCCAAACAGTCACGCATCTAGCTACTGACCAGGTTCGGAGTTGCTTAACATCGGTGATCGCACAGGAACAGGTGTTTCAACATGTTCAGGCAGTAAGACGTCGTGGTCACCAAATGTTACGGCTTTACTTCTTCTTTGACTAAAAGCAGTGGTAACACAATTTTTCGCTTATATATGACGATATATATACTTAAAAAAGACGATATTTTATATTTTAGTTTCTTTATAACTGACTAAAAAGTGAATACACTAGTATGCATGCAAATGTAGTAGAACCTTCCAAATTAAGAATTAGGTGGGTGATACACGTATGTGTGTGTTATTGAAAGTTCGCTCACTAAAGGGAAAGATATCTCCATATCCATGGCTTAATAACGCATGTTAACTTGTTGAAACTGGCGAAGCTATTTGGAGATAATCCACAACTTGGAAACGATTGGGGAGAAGGATACTTAAGAGAAAAACACTGTTAATAGCTACTAAGTTAAAAACACAAATCTCAACAATTTAAAGACCATGATATATAAAATATAAAAACCTAACTTCAAATTTAAATAGAAAATATAGATATAGACATATATATGACAGAGTAAGCCATATAAACAGTGAGTGTAGCTAACCCAAATAAACTGACAGGACCGGGTAGGAACTGTGTATACGACAGTGTTTTTGACCATGCAGATCAATATAAACACAGACCAGGACACTGTATTTTCTTGAATAATCGCTCAGTGTTTTAGAAATAAGACATTTATGTAGGGGGGCTTATTCAATGGACGCGTCTATACAAAACTGGGCGTTTATCGAAAAATCACTCGCATTTGAAGCAATAAGGACACGTATCTTTCATAACTTGCACGGGTTCTGTTTATACTTTACAAATTATAAAATCGAAGGAACACATTTTCAAAGAAGAATGGCATTTTTTACCAACACATATAATCACTTCCAAATATATTAGGATTCCTAAACACTCCCGACGGACACTTGCACAGATAAATGAGACAACAGAATAATAGATAATAATAGATATTCCATGAAATTAAAAAATTAATGAACCTTTGAATATATATATAAGTAAACCTGATTTTGTGAAAAACCTCTGTAAGTTGATATAAGCAAATTTTATACACGTTTGGAAGTGTGTGGTTGAAATTAAAAACAGTTTTTCGTATTATGGGGGACAAGTATTCGATGGACGCTTATCTAAAACTTACGTCTCGACTTGGGAGGGCGTTTATTCAAAGAAATACGTTATGTTCGAGAGAATAGATGCCTGAAAACTTATGACATATGATTCAAAGATTCAAATGTCTCACACACTCGCAATCAAAATCTGGACCCGATACTAATAAACAACAAGCGAAAAGGATGGAGAGTGAAAATTTCTGAACTGGCAGATCACAGAGGAAATTTGAAAGAAACGGAAAATATAGATAAATATCTCAACCTTGACAGAGAACTTAGGAAGTTGGGAAACATGAAAGTTATAATCGTGTCGCTCGTTTTGGGTATATTGGGAACATTCGCGAAGAGCTTAAGAAAGAGACTGAAGAACTGGAATTTAGGGGAACTGTAGGAACCATTCAGAATAGTGAATTGTTGAAAGCGGATTACTAAGAATAGTACTAGAATGTTTCAAAAACGTTTTGCCATTTAATCTTCAATATAAATCAGCAGATAGAATGGAGTCTTTAATAGAGAACAGTTTAGTTTTGGAGGCGTTAAAATTAACAAGTCATCCTTTGTCTCATTTAACAGACTGAAGGTCGTTTTTGACATCAGCCACCAATTTGACTTTATCGAAATGATAGGACTTACTATCGAGACGCTTGTAAATGGTTGCCAGCAGCATAGATACCAAGTTGAGAGCTGATGTTATCGAGAAGGTTGTCAATGAAAATTAAATGCAAAGTAGGCCGAAGGCTAGAGCTCTGGAGGGGGACACATGCATTAGTATGAAAGGATCAAGAAGAATGGCCGTTCAGGATAAATTTCATTTCATGATTTGATAAGAAAGACTGCATCAGTTCAAAAAATGTTTTTCATTTTGTTAAACTGACCTGTATGCCAAATCCCGTCAAAGCTTCCGAGATGTCCAAAGCTATATCCCGAGCCCCCCCTTTCTTTTCAAGTGCTTGATAAACTCTTTCCGTAATTATCATCAGTACATCAGCAGTTGGCTTTGAGAAACGAAAGACGTATTGCATGTCTAAAAATGGTCCTACGATATGAGATGCGTATAGCCTTAAGAATTTAAATTGTTTTTTCAAAGTATCACGATATCTGACGACCGTTTCAAGAGAAAAGATTATATACCGTTGAATTTGGAAATGAGAACTTTGGTGAAAGAAATGTTAAGGTGGGATGCTAGGTAGTTTTTTTTGTTTACTTATTTTATCCTGTTTCTTTTATTGCATTTGTTATGAGATTTGTATTGAGGAGGTAAAGAAAAGGTCAATGTAATTATCACTATCTGTCGTCAATGACAATAAAAAAAACTAGCCAGAACGTGGCTGAGACTAGTGCCTCAGGGTTGCCCACCTGAAATACATGCACGAACACCTACCCATGCGCGACATGGTACTACAAATACTTCGATATTATGCGACTGTTGATCAGATTAGACTCTCTAAGCGCTACCGAAGAGTTCGGGCTTCTTACTACAGGTCGGGTACTGCGAACTGCCTAACCATCATAATGTAAGGTCGCAGCTAGTGGTGCGATCACCAAAAATGTAACTCAAATCATTATGGCCATGGAAGAAGAGGGAAGAAATAACCAGTAAACAGTATCCTAAACAGAAACAAGGGATGATCCTCTACTCTTATTCTGTAGACATGGAAGTAGTACTGGCCGGATGATAGGTGAACCTATCTACACCTGTTAAACTGTCGCAGCACAGGGGGATGGCGATTTTATCGAGACTCCAGGAAGGTTGTCGAATAAGATTGTACAACCCAACCAGGCCAAGGGGGGATTATTGGATAATTAATTAATATCTCTCTGAGGAAATCGAGAGTAAGATGAATAAACTATGAAAAGATTAAGTTCCGATATCACCTACCAACTAAAAAGAAATCGTACAGAAAATCAATATAAACCAGTAAGATTGCAGTTAGCTGTGGTCAAATATTACTTAATTTCCTCCATTGTTATAAAGTACAAATTCATTCCAATTGCATCAAGTGTATTTAAATGGTGCAGGAGGGGGTAGTTAAAAATTTTAAATTAATGTCAGAGATAAAATCAAAATGAAGAAACGCTAAGAGGAAATTTAAAACTAAAAAGGAAAATATAAATATAAACAAAAGTTACAAAGTCTGTGAGTTGTTAGTGTGGAACGGTTGTATCTGGATTCGGATGTTTCATATTCCTCGGTCCAAGTAGGACAACTTATCAATGATACTTTGGAAATGAACGCTGACTACCTGAAAAGAATTTCTCCATCATTAAGTTTTCCCGGTTTAGGATGGGTCAGGTTTTTTTTTGTTTTCATGGTTTCTATCAAGATGTCGAGTCATTCCAGCCATAAAAACATGTTTGCTCATATAAATGGTAAAGTTATCTCTCTGTCTCTGTGTCTCTCTCTCTCTCTCTATATATATATATATATATATATATATATATATATATATATATATATATATATATATATAATGTTATTCCCTCAAGTTAGAATTCAAATTAAACGATTTTACTTTTTGGTCCTGGATGAAGTTAAAAAAGCTAAATTACTGGCAGTAGAGGAAAAAGAATAATGAAGAAACGAGGAAATTTAAAACTAAAAAGGAAACACAATCGATTTAACTACATTTAATTCTTAGCTTTTCTGGTGTACTACATTTGATGAGATATCCTATTAAAATTCTCATGGCTAATTTTGTAATGACGCATGATGGAATATATATATATTTTTATAGCTGAAAGAATCGCATCCGAACAAAATGAAAAAAAAAACTTGTTCTTAAGTCGATGAGAAAGAATGAGAAAAGTGTGAGAGTGGAAGCAACTGAGAGAGAGAGAGAGAGAGAGATAAATTCCTGGAGGGGATTATACATTGAAAAATTAAGGCAAAATGTGTCACATGAGATTCTGGTGTGATCTTGTTCATATTGTGAACGTATTAAGTATGGATGAATAAATGTCTACTTTTGGCTAAGAATTGTTGCTTGTATCAACTCTTGCCATCACTTCTCTAGATTCGGTATTATGGTTTTAGGGAAAAACCATAGAAAATTGTTTTATGTATTATGTAATTCCCATAGTGTATAATTATGTCAAATTTAAAATCTGAAGATTTTAGTAACTGATTACTTTGAAGAAAACAACTATTATGACATGCGTTCACGAAAGCATTTATTAAAAGGTTTTAAGGTTTATGGTTACATCACCGAAGTTAAGCCACATTAAGCCTGGTCAGTATCTAGTTGGGTGACTGTTTCGGAATACCAAGTGTTGTAAGATTGGATGTGCGGATTGGTGTTAATGGATATGGAATTGGAAGTCGAAGATCAATTCCAATTCCAGTCGGGATTGTTATATTTACTTACGCGCAAATACCCTTGGGAAAGGTATGAATCATCCTCACCTCCTCCAACTATGGGTTAATTAGTAGAACGTGTTTTGGCAAAAATTATTATCTCAAAAATTTCTTACAATGTAATTTTTTCTGGTTTAAATAAAAAGCAAATGTTTTATAAGCCGTAAAAAACAAACCACTCAAAATAAAAGTTTGTAGGCTTTAATAGATTTCAATAAAATATATTGGGATAGATATGAATAAATAGTTTTGAGAATCAAGTAGAAGGAAGAGCCCAATCTACTCAATAACTGAATCTGGAGCATCAGATCTAGTTATTGTAATCAAAAAGGAAATCAGTCAGTGGCATTTGTTGCTTCTGTCCTAGAAATTTTACTGAACCAATTGAATAAAACTTTCTACTCTTCTATCTAGTCATTTGCCCCATTATATATTCGCATAAATGTTATTCTTAAAGATTACGGATTATTTGCATCCTTTGATCGTATTAGTTAAGCTTTCTTAATTTTTAAAGTTCTTCGTGATGTAATTCGTCGA